GAGACGCAGTTTCGCTCTTGTTACCCAGGCTGGAGTGCAATGACACAATCTTGGCTCACTGCAACCTCGGTGCCTTCTGGGATCAAGCAATTCTCCTGCCTCAGCCTCCCAAGTAGTTGGGATTACCACATCTGGGTAATTTTTTGTATTTAGTAGAGACGGGGTTTTACCAGGCTGATCTCAAACCCGAAGTGCTGGGATTATAGACATGAGCCACCACACCTGGCCAAATATTATTTTAAACTTTAGAAATATCTTAACATGCTACATAAACTAATAAATCGTTTAACCTCGGGGAAAAAACATCAGCCCCCCTCCCCCGCTCCTTAAACTGGTGGGGACAGTTGTAAAATGGACTGTTTAGGAAATGCCATTGCCAATAATAATAGAATTCAGAATGTGCAGGTCCATCACATTCCTTTTCCATCTAGGCAAAATAGTTACATATTTTTCAGGAATTTGGAAATTAGTTTAGCAAGATGTTGTTTGTTCAACTCCTGTGGCAAAAATTGTGATTTGTTGGATTATTGGATATTTTCATAGACTTTACCACCTCCATTCCAAACTCTCTTAGGCCTCTGTGCATAAGGCATAGTATTTTATTTTTTATTTTGTAGAGATTGGGTCTTGCTATGTTGCCTAGGCTGATGGCAAACTCCTGGCCTCAAGCGATTCTCTTGCCTCAGCTTCCCAAAGTGTTGTGATTAAAGGTGTGAGCGGCCAAGGCATAGTATTAACATCTTTAAGGGAAGGCTGCAGATGGACTATATATCATCTCACCATTATTCTTGCTTATGACATGCCACAGCTTTCCATCAGAAAATATTTTAAGTATTTACTTTGGAAAAGCACCGTATCATACCTAAAAATGCTAATTCTGCTACTACCCCGCTGTTTACTGAGTAGTAATCCTCATGGAGTAGGTTCTCCTGTTGCATGGATCAGTTTTAGTGAGAGGAGTCCTTTGACAGTGTCCACAGATGAAGGTAAAGGGAAATGTTTCTTGCTGTAGCAACCTGTGGCATTTCTCATCCATTCTCTAGCAGAGTCCTTTTCTCTGACACCTTGGAGGTGAACAAAAGGGAAAGCATTTCCCTTTTCCTTAGTATGTTCTCCCTAATCCCTCCCTCCTCCAATATTTACTCTTTTCAAACGGTCTCTAGAATCAGCTCATAAGGAGTGGGTAAGGATGAAGAAAAACTTAAATCATTAAGTGTTCCTATACTTTGCAGCCATTCTGAAGTATTAAAATGAATATCTCCCTGGAGGTTAAGAGGGTTAAGACACAGACCTGAGCTACAAATATTTGTCTTACTTTTGTGGAAGAGATGCGAATCCCTCTAGGAGCCGGAGAGTTGCCCTTTGAGTGTGTGATCACCTGGCCTGCAGAATTTCCTTCCAATCTCGCTGCCTGTCCCAAATACAGACGTGGATGCATTCTGGATCTCCCTCAGGTTCAGTCCCTGGATGGAAATAAGAAAAGCCTAGCCAGTCTCTGGTGGCGGGTGCCACGTAGCACAGGGAGGAGAAGCATTCTGCTCTTCCCAGATGATTCCTGTGTATGTAGGGGAGGTGAAAATGGCTTCCCTTCACCCTTCTAAATTATTTGGCTAGGCTACGAATTAAATGAATTTAAGACAGACTAACAGGAAAAAAAAATCTTAATTACTTGTCTATGCATGGGAGTCTCACAAAAATTTGAGACTCAAAGAAGCTCCAGAGGAACCCTATTTAGCATTCTCAGCTGCAGAAAGGAACAGGGGATTGGGGCTTCTGGAGGAGGGGTGGAGATAAACTATGGGAGGATGGGGGAGGAAACATATGGTGAATAAAGTTTGCCTCTTTATGTAGATAAAAATCTTTCAAGTAATAAAGTTTGTCTAGGAGCAGCTCTTTTCCTGATACAAACTTCTTTATTACTAATGTACATTACCTTCATAAAAATAGATGGAAATTTCTCTTACACAATGGCAGCTTTGCAGGGCTACTCCTTGTCTGAAGTTTCTCAAAGTAATCAGCTTGAAATAATCAATATGCCAATGAGGCATATTTTAGGGTGGCATATTCTGGTGCTCTGCAGTCATTTTGGGGATGGTGTGTCCTGACCCCAATATTTATAAACCTGGCTGGCAGGTGGGCACGCGGGTGGGTCTGGAGCTGGTGTTGCAGGTCCATGGGTGAGGGCACCTCTGAGACAGGCCTGTCCATGCAGTGCTGTGCATCCTCCGCGGCACCCCCCACACTGTGTTGGAACAGATTGCACCCCTTCCCCCTGGGAGCCTGTTCAGTGTTGAGAATGTGGGTGTTGTGCTAGGTCAGTAACCTGAGAAAAACGCAGTGATATTTTGGAACCCGGGCACCCACGGTCTTCTCACCTCACACTCTCCCTGTAATCTCTTGCTTTCCTTTTTCCTCCAAATCAGATCATTATGCTGAGAGACATTAGCTATTTCAATGAACATAATTTCTGGATCTCTGCAGGATGTGGTATCTCATCGGTTTATTTATATGGGATCCAGAATGCTGAGCATATTTTATTAACTGTTTTAGATACAATATAGTAAAAGGTAGTTTTCAGTTTTCACTAAGAATGTTCTTTTTATTCTGACCTGGCTGCTGCCTCTAGTTCATAAAAGTATGCTACGTTTCCATTAAAACATGGTTGATGGTTTTGTTTTTTGTTTTCCAGTTATGACAACCTCCTCCTGGGCTTATCCAGGTTGGTGTGAAGTTTGTACTCTTGGTTATTCCAGTAGACATACTTACAGATTCAGTAACTTACTATGAAAAATGGTTATATGATATTTAAATCTCCTTTTACCAAAAGCCTATTTCTTTCCTGCAGGTCCTGAAGGGTCATAATTTTTAGTTTTGTCACAAGCCTCTGCCTTTGTGGAAATTTCCTCAGCCATGTTTCCCTTCCCCAAAGAACCAGTGCAGGTCCATGTGGGTTCCTTGGCCATGCCCCGCTTCTCTCTTGCTGGTGATAGCATCTTTAAGCTCCATGCCTCCGTTTCCTGGTCAGCCTCACCCGGCTCTGCCCCTCGGTCCATCCTGCGCTGGCTGCAGTGGGCCGAGATCACACCACTTCACTCCAGCCTGGATGACAGAGCAAGACTCTTGTCTCCAAAAAAAAAAATCTTAAAAACTATCCTTCTGTTGTAAATTTAATATTCATAGAAACTTGAAGAAAATTACAGAATGTGTATGACTGTGAAATATGACAGGGGCTTTCAGGATATAATAAGCTATTCTAGCATAACGTGTCATTTCTATTATTCCAGGAAGCCTGGCTTACTTTAATTCATATATCTTGCTTCATTCTACATTTTGAGGTAGTGAAACCTTTACAAAAAAAAAAAAAAATCTCAGAATCTAATTTACATCAAAATTTGGAGCTCACCAGTCATTGCTATATAAGGACAGATTTTTCTGCTTCACCAGTAACTTTTCTCTAAGAACAGCTACATTGTTTCTGGTATAGTTCTTCTGGTATATTTGTTTCCTGTTTTTTTTTTTTTTTCAATCCAGTGTAACTTATCTTTCTTTCTAGTTTTGAGGGGTAATTAAAATGATGTTGCCGGGCGCGGTGGCTCAAGCCTGTAATCCAAGCACTTTGGGAGGCCGAGGCAGGTGGATCATGATGTCAAGAGATCGAGACCATCCTGGTCAACATGGTGAAACCCCGCCTCTACTAAAAATACAAAAAATTAGCTGGGCATGGTGGTGCGTGCCTGTAATCCCAGCTACTCAGGAGGCTGAGACAGGAGAATTGCCTGAACCCAGGAAGCGGAGGTTGCGGTGAGTTGAGATCGCGCCATTGCACTCCAGCCTGGGTAACATGAGTGAAACTCCGTCTCAAAAAAAAAAAAAAAAAAAATGATGTTGGCACCGGCAGCCCAGGAAAAAGCCAGGCGAGGATGGCTCTAAGGGGAGTGGGAGAGAATCCCAGCACTCTCTTGCCATGATGTTTACACCTGTTCCCTTTGTTTAGGAAGATGAGGCTAAGCCCAAAGACTGCATACGAGGCAGTGAACACACCAGGGAATTTCTGGCTCACACACCAACTAAAGGACTTTTTTTTTTTTTTTTTTTTTTTGATGAGTTTTGATCCTTATAGCCAGGCTGGTCTTGGAGTCTAGACCTCAGGCGATCCACNAGACCTCAGGCGATCCACCCACCTTGGCCTCCCAAAGTGCTAGGATTGCAGGCGTGAGCCACCGCACCCGGCCTAAAGGACTTTCAATGCCACTGGGGAAAGAAGTCAGAGTTATGCAGTGTGAGTGTCTGGCATTTTCCTAATCCATGCAACTTCCAGGCCACAATTTACCGAGAGTGTTTACTTATTTTATTTAACTTACTCTCAGCACAGCCCTCTTATAGCCAAGGCATGTTCTCCATCTTCTAGATGAGGAAACAGATGTGCATATGTCAGTAAGTGGTCTCAGGGAAGACGTAGAGCAAAGCTTTGACTCAAGGGTTCCTGATTCCAAGTCTCGCAGTCTTTGCTTAGGACCATCAAGACCTTGGTATTATTTTTTCTTTAGTGTTGTTCCTGTAACAGATAGGACATTCTGTGATAGAAATGCCATGGGAGTGAGGGATGCATTGGAGGGTGGGTCTCTTTGAGCCTTGCCACTGTTGGATACCCTCTATCAGTGGTGCTTTATCCGTGTAACCGAGAGAGGCTACCATGGGCCACAGAGGATGGGTCTGCACAGGTAGAGCTCTCTGTGCACATGTCCTGCTGCCCTGTAGCAGTTAACACATTCCAGAGGGTACAAAATCACTCTTCCAAAGAGTTGAGCTCTTTTTGCTGGTTGTTTTGATGTTTATCTCCACAACTCAACCTCATAGTTGCATTGTTGCTCCATGGTATTTCAGGTTTGGGCATTTTCTGTTGCCTCTGTTCGTGGAAGATAAGGATGAGGTTCTATCTCCTGCTCTCACCACACATGCGTGCCCTTCTGTATCTCATTTCCCCAGTAATTATTATATCATAAATTTGGTTAGATAAGTCTTTTTATTTACTATGATTATGTTCAGAGGTGAGCTGTATCTTGCAAAATGTGTCTGTTCAAAATGAGCCACTGTACTTGGTAGATAACATTTTTATCCCTTCTATAAATCTCTGCCTTTTGATTGAAGGGTTTAATCCATTTGCATGTAATGTAATTACTGTTACGGTAATTACAAACTTATCAAACTTTTTTGATTCTACCAATTTTAGTGTTAATTAGAAAAGTGGTTCTCCCACTTTGATATGTCTACAAATAAACAGTAAATCTTTTAAAATTAGCCGGGCTCGGTGGCTCACGCCTGTAATCCCAGCACTTTGGGAGGCCGAGGCGGGTGGATCACAAGGTCAAGAGATCGAGACCATC